AATTCAAAGCAAAACAGAGTATGAGTGAATTGCCATGTGGCACATAAAGCCATGCCTCGGACATCGCCAGCCTCTAGATTTAATGCTACCATCTTCTCAACCACCAAACTGCAAACCCCTTAAATTTTTTAGAAAACCAAATATCCTATGCAAGAGACAAAATGTTAGATATAGATAGATACAGTATATCTGCCCAATAAAAAAAACCATCAATGGACTAGGGATATGAAGAAATATGTCAGGAATCTAGATCAATATCCCTCATACAAACCAAGACAGAACAGAATAATTTTTTATTTGTAGTAATCAACATGATGCCACAAATAAAAATTCCAATAGTTCCCCCCCCCCAATCTTGGACTCACAAGAACCTCAGTATATTTTGTGGATTTAGTGAGGGCAAGGCATAGTCCCTGGTCTGCGGAGAGGCCATCCATCCACAACTCATAATGCAAGCATCTCAGCCGGCCCTATTAATTTTCCATACTCACGGAGCCAAACTCTGCCTGGGATTATTATGCAATTTTCAAAATGGCTTTAAGTCTTTCAACTTACAAAGTTACCATTTACATTGCACTGGCCTGCTGGCTGGGATGAATGAATGAACACTCTTTCCCAAAGGACCATAATTCATTCTCTGATCATAGCTTATACATTTGGGAGAATTGGGATCAGTGTGCCTGGCGCCTCCCCTCCCCTCCGCCCCACAAAGGAGTCATACACTGCAAGAGAAGGGGAGACAAAGTGGCTGTGTGCCATGGAGCACAGAGGTGTGGCTAGGGAGGTGTTGACTGTGAGTAGCAGCCGTCCAACATGTAAGCAACTGTCTACATGATGTGATTTCAGGTGCACCAAAAAAGGCCTCATTGCCCCTCAGTTTAAACACTCCCTTCCCACTGGCGAATGCCTGGAATTCCACAGTTTGGAGAGCTCTGTTCCTTTGGTTTAAAGCTTTGATCCCTGTTAAAATCTCTGTACCCCTGGGTGGGCAGCCCCATTATATCCTATCAACCAGATATACTGGAGGCGGATGAGTTTGAACGCTTCTTCCCTGAAAGCAGGTTTTGAGCGTAGGGCGAAGGTGAGACGATATTGTGCACCTGAGGGGGGCGAGGGGAGGTGGGCATCCTCTGGGGAGCAGAGGGAGCCGGGCCCAAGAGAAACCATGTGTGCGTGTGTGGCCGTGTGCACGGCTGTGTATGAGCCCCTCCCGTGGCAACAGCTGTTGAACACCCTTTCTTAACTCTCTCCCAGAAACCTTGATTTATGCTGCTTTTGGAGCCATGGAACTAGACTCTCCTCCCAGCTACAGCAAGATAATAGCTGCTGGCTACAGCTGGGAATTCTCGAATTCTTTCAAACTGGAGACTAGGAACGAAAGGTGAAGAAAAGTTCCTCTGAGGTCCAAAGAGGAAAATGGGGCCCGACGGTGTCATCTACATGCTTCCAGTGGGGCCCGGAAGCACAGACCCATGAACTGTAGAAAGTGAACACTGGCTCACTCAGCACATCCCTTTGTGTTTCTCGACTGATTGTTTCTCTTTGTCTCTTCCAGCTGAAGAGTAAGAATGAGTCATTGGCCTGACTTCTAACACGAGGAAGGGAGCCTTGCAAGGTAAAGACTGGCTGTTCGTGTAAAAGAGAACAGGGAAGACCCAGTCGTAATGCCTAGTCCCTCATCTGGGCAGTATAGAGTATGTACCGGAACAGATTTCATACTCTGGTAAAGGAACTGGACGTCCGTCAGTAAAACTCCACGTCACTGGGTGGGCAGAGTTCACCGAATCGACAGCTGCCAGGGGTGTTCCCGCATGCGTTCCTGAGCAGAAGCCTATTATTCCTCGGGGTCTGTTCCAGGGCCCGAGTTCCGTGGCCAGGCTCGTCCCTCTTGGGCCCCAAGGCTAGAAGGACGTTGAGAGGCCCTTGTGGAAATAGAACCACTGCTTAAGCCTAGCACTTTCTATTAACTCCCACCTTAGGTTGGCTTCAAGCCTAGAAGAAGCTGCTGGGAGGGGGAGCAGATGCTTTAAGGCCAAAGACATGTCTCTCCAAACCTCGGGGCCGGTTTGCCCATGACCTGGCCCAAATCCGGGTCTTTCACATACCATCCCCCCAAGTTTTGCTCTACCGTCACACTCCCAACAGGATTTCACCTTTTCCTTCAAGCCAGCTCACATTTGTATCGAAGGCAGTTTGTGCCGGCGCAATCTACGTAGTTTTGCCCTAATGAAATCAGGGGTTAGGGGCACTACATTTTTCTAATCCATAGTAAAATAAAGATCGATTAAAAGAAAACCCAGAAACTTCCCTGGCCCACACATCACCAGGGATTCACACACTTCACTTTGGGAAACACTGCCCGGGCTCAGACGAAGTGTATTACATATAAAAGTTTATATTAAAAATAGGTCACAGTCCCTCATTTCAAGGTACTCAAATACCCAGTAGTTGAAAACAACTGTTGCCTTTGTAGTTAGTTGCATGAGCTCTGGAAGATCATGAATTTATGGGAGGTCATGTCTTCCTCTGCGAGGTCATGAAATTCAATCAATGCTTGCCTTCCAATCTGCCCTTTGGTCACTGGGCTCCACAGGTGGAACATATCAAACTCACCAGCCAAATTATGACTCTTAATTGGTGTTTCTTTTAAAGTGGATATGTCATTTGTCAAATGTTCAATGCAGGCGCAGGCCTAGCTCCAGGCGAAATTATGAAGTCGGAGAAGAATGCCAGATACATAGGCGGCACTCAAATGTTTGTTGAAAAAAGAATGAATGAGCCCTCCGTCCTTGACTCCTTCTCGCCCAACCCCCACACCCCCCAGGTTACTAAGCCTTTCTCATTCTACTCCCAAATACCACTGCTAGTTTTTTCCCTTCCAAATCTCCTCTGCCCTGAGCCTTTATCAGTTCTTGACTGGATTATTTTCACTTGCTTCCAGTCCTCTTCTTTCTCCAAGCCATTCTCCACAATCCACAATGTCGCTGGGGAGATCTTTTCCTAAGGCAAACATGATCCTGTCACCCCTCTGCTTAACATTCCCTTAAGTGGTTCCCCAGGCTCCTTGGCCTGGCTTCACGGCTGCATAAGCTGGCCCTTGCTCACCTTGGATGCTTGTGCTCCTCTGATCCCCCACCCAGCTTGAAACGTTACTTGTACTTCCCACTTGTACCTCTCCAATGGGGCCATGCCAGGCTCCCCCGGCTCAGTCTCTGTTCATGCTGCTGCTTTTCCCTTGGCACCCTCCTTGCCATCTTCTTTTCTGACCTCAACTCCTGCTGGCCTTTTACGTCTGAGCTTAGGGCACCATGTCTTCTGGGAAGCTGTCTCTGATCTACCTTCTTAGCCCTGAGAACCCGTTACCTTTGCCTCTGTCTTATCACCGACCATGTGCTGCGTTAACATTTTCTCCTTGGTTGTTTTCCCCATCAGACTTGAAGGTCTTTGAAGTTAGGTACCATGGGTTAATCTTTGGATCCCCATTGTCTGTTTGCATCCCACATATCTGGCGTGTAGCAGGGTAGTAGGAGTTCAAATATTTGTTATTGAATGAATGAATGAACACATGAGCCAACTCCTCACCAAACTACCCTTCCTTTGCCTGTTTTCTCAGGCCACGCGTTCTGGCACAGGAACTTCTCTCCCCTGGCCTGGCACTCCCTGGAAAATTCGTGGTGTGGAGGCTCTCCCTTGTCTTTCCTTATCAAAACCGACTTTCACGTAGATCAGAAGCAACACAATCAGACTATAAGCTAATTCACACTGGGGTGTTAACTAACGCATTTCATGATACAAACACGTACTGAGTTCCTACTATGTGCAAGGCCCTGTGCTAAGGTGTGTGCGTGGGAGTCACAGAAAAGAAGAGGGGAGTTAAAGATCCTTGCCTAGGAACACATAGGTAATGACTAAATGCATTCCTCCTTTGAGAGGCGTTTCATTTTCAAAGAACTGGTTCTAATGGTGAAATTTAAGCAGGAGAGGTGGGGATTTGGGTCTAGGACACGACAGCCTTCCACTCCATCTACGAAACAGGCGAGCTCTGGCTCAGTGAATTTGCTGTGTCCAGTGATTTTGTAATGAGTTAGGCTGGCGTTAAGCTCCAGGTTATTTTGTTGTCGCCAGTTACGCTTTGCTTCAGGAAGCGTCACCGGGGGCTGTCTTGCAGGAGAGAGTCTTTCAACATTCTGGGATCAGGTGCTTTCTCTGATTTTGCGTGGCTCTTTGGAATCAAACCTGGAAAATCCCACGGGCTTGGAGACTTTTTAGGTACAAGAGTCAAAGAGGAGGCAGGCCGTGAACCGCCCCCCCCCCCCCGCGGTCCCCGGCTGCCCCAGAACGTAACTATTCGTGGGCTGGGTTTGCGAACCCGGCTGGGGTTGCCGCGTTGGGAAAACGGTGCGAGGGAAGCCCCTCGGAGAGCAGGAAGAGGAGGTGGATTCTGCGCGGAGGAGGAAGACCTCGGGTGGCTCCGGTGGCCAGAGACGAGCTGGCCAGGGCCGGGAGGAGGCCTGGGGCGAAGCGGAGGTGTGGGGGGGTGGCCGAGGCCCGGGAGCCCCGCGCACCCCGAAGAAGGATGGAGAGGTTGCAAAAATCCTAAAGGGAAAAGCCCTGCCGGCTGTAGGCCAATGAGCGGCGGGAAGGAGGAGTGAGGCTGGGGAACTTCTCCCAGAGCCAGTCAGAGGGGACGGCTGCTGGGAAGCCAATCAGCGCGCCGGAGCCCGCAGCCCCTCTGCAGTAGTTATGCCAGAGCGCCCTGGGTAGAGCGGCGGCGAGCGGGCAGCTGGGCCGGGCCGTCAGGAGCCACCGCACGCGCTCGGCACCCTCTTCCGCGCCGCCCCCGCCCGGGCCGCGCGCCGCCGTGCCCCCGCGGGCCCCGCGGCCCCGCTCCCCGCACCCGCGGGCTCGCCGCCGCTCGGCGGCCGCCGCCCCCCTGGCCGCGCGCTCGGCCTCGCCCCGCCCGGTCTCCCGTCGCCCCGCCCCGCCCGCCGGCCCCGCCCCGCCCGAGCTGCCGAGCCGTTCCCGCCCTCGCCCCGCGCCCAGGTAGCTGCGAGGAAACTTTTGCCGCGGCTGGGTAGCGGCACGTCTCCCGCTCCTCAGGGCCGCCGCCAGCCTTGCCGAGTCTCGGGACTGCTCCCGCTCCCGCTGCCACTCTCCCGCGCTCTCCTCGCTGCCCGCGAAGCAGGATGGCGGGGACCGTGCGCACCGCGTGCTTGGTGGTGGCGATGCTGCTCGGCTTGGACTGCCCGGGACAGGCGCAGCCCCCGCCGCCGCCGCCGGACGCCACCTGTCACCAGGTCCGCTCCTTCTTCCAGAGACTGCAGCCCGGACTCAAGTGGGTGCCCGAAACCCCCGTGCCAGGTGAGGAGGAGTCCCCGCGCGCGTCCCCCGCGCCCCGCGGAGAGCCAGGGGGGCGCGTGGCGGCCGTACCCCGAGCGCGCTGGCCCCGCGGGCCCGCGGCCGTGCGCCTCGCCGCTGGGCACTCGGGAGTGGTCGCTGCGCCCGCGGCCCGGCCAGGTCTACGGGGTGGGGGGTGGGGGGCGGAGAGGCAGAAGGGTGAGTGGGGATCGTGCCCGCATCCCCTGGACTCGCTCTGCTTTCGGGGAAGGTGCGGGCGGGAGGAACGGCGGGGATGGCCTTCCCGCGAGCGCCCATTTTTTGGGGGAGGGCGGGAAGGTGGGAGATGCTTCCCCGGGGCCTCGGCGAACTGGCGCCCCACAGCCGAGCCGGTGCCTCGGGCATTTGCCACCCTCGCTCGCGCGAACGTGCCAGCATTTCAGCCTCAGCGGGACCGCGGCTCCGGCCGTTCTCTCCCCAACCTGCCCCCAAGCCCTCCTTTCCGCAGCCCGGGTTCCCGGGGCTCGCGGGCCCAAGTGCAGGCAAAGTTGAGGACAGATCTCCGAATCTGCAGTGGCAGGTAGAGACACGCTGGGGGAAACTTTTGAGTAGATGGGTCCCCACGATGAGGAGGACTGAACGTTTTCCTTCCAAACAGCGTCCCTTATCTAGGTGGGCAAAATCGCTTCGGGAACGGTGCTGCTGGCCGGGGAGCAGGAGTCCAAAGATGATTTAACTCCTCCCCTTCTCAAATTCATCTGCCTTCTTGACAGGCTGGACCCTGAAGGGGAGACGATTTTAGGTGGCGGAAAGTTTCCAAACGCCTGCCTTTTGTTCTGCACAATCAGATCGTGTTGTAAGGGCATATTTTAACCTTAGCTGAGGGCTGCCGCTGTCAACAGATGAATATTAATGGCCTCGCGTGATTGACTGTCCCGCGGTTGGACACCTAAAAGCCTGCCTTAGAATCCAATTAGGACAAGGTGCTACCCCGACAATGCGGGCAAGAAGAGTTTGGTTTCAAACAGGTTAATTTATCGGAGGTGCGCTCCGCAGAAGCGGCCCGTGGCGGTCGCAAACCCTGCGACGTCTGTGGCCTCCGGGGTCCCTCCGCGACCCGTGCATCCGGCGAGGCGCGCGCCCCGCGCTTCGGAGCGATCGGGGAGCAGCCCTCGTCCAAACTTGGCTCGTGGCTCTCAACAAGTCAGAGCGGCGGGCCTGACGGTTGGACCAAGTTGTGAATGCGATGCGCACCCTGTGGGCGCTGCCAGCGAGCGTTCACTAGCGGGAGGTTACCTAGGCAGCCAGCGCGCCCTCAGCCCTCAGCCTTTTCTTTAGGTGGATGAAAAGACCGAGCGAGCCTGCTGTTTGGTTGCAAAGGTAATTGGTCACCCCTTTTGGCGACTGAAATGCATTTGTGCGTCCGTTAAATATTGCTTTGCAGGATTTCGCTCAATGGGAGGGGAGAACTGCGTCTTCCACTGTTAAGTGTTAATAACGTACCACGTGGGCGTGTGCAGGAGCCGTAAGGGGCAACCTATGAATCGGTTCCGCAGAGCTGAAACAACAGGCCAATCTCTCTCCCCTCGAAGTGCCATGGTAATTAGATTGCTAAGGCCGGAGAACATGCTTTTGTTGATAATGTAAAAACTGGTCCTCACAGGATGAGACCCCACAAGATGAATGGGTCCGGGGTTGGGGCTGGGGCCACATTTGACTGATTTAAGCCAGGGAGTAAAGGTTGTGCTTAAAAGAAGAAAAAGACCAGAGGGAACACACTGATACTCATTGAGCAACCCCCTCCCTCTACACACACTGGTGCTGGCTGCCGCCGGCCCGCCCTCCTCCTCCCCTGCTCCCTGGCTGCCTGCCTCCTCACAGCATCTGTATACAAGTACCAAGAGGGCCCACACACTGTGTGTAAGAGATTTGGCCTGGGCTCCCAACCTCCGGGCTCCCTCGCTCCCTGCGGCGGGATGGCCATGCCGTAGAGAACAGGAACTCCTAACGGGGGGGGGGGGGGGGTTTCCTTTTCCTCCAGTGTTTCCCAAGCTCTATAGGAAAAAAATCCCTTTCCAAGGGTCATCGTACAAACCCAGATTCCCTACTTCACTTCTGTTTAACAAACATGTGCAGTGCTGAGCTCTACCTGGCAGGCACTGTTCTGACCTCGGCTGGAGTAAGGCCACACTTCAAATATGGTGATGCCCATGCAGCTACCACATATCCTGGATTTTCGGGGGGGTGGGGGGCAGTACAGATTTCCAGTACTCTCTCTTGGCCCAAAAACGATGTGTCCTGAATTTCACTTGGGCGAATGTGGTCACTGTAGAATGGAAAACACGGTGAAAATCCTAATGGCCATGTGTGGAAAGAGCTCATCAGTATTTCAGAGAAGAGACGATAATGGCAGACTAAATACAATGGCAAGTGCATAATTTCAAAGTGAATAAATGTGTAATTTGCTGCTGTCATTCAGTGGTTGGAAATTGAAAGAGAGCTGCAAATTATTTGATAGTTATGAACCATCAAGATGACCGCTTGACTTTTTTTTTCCATCTATATTTTAAGCCATGTTCAGTGTGCCCGCTTCACTGTATTAACTGCATTAAAAGCTTTCTTTGTCCCAGATAAAATGAGATTTGGTCACAGTAAGGAGAAATCCTGGAGAATGTCCTGTCTCACTTAGGGGGAGCATTTGGGATTGACTGCTAACTTCGGCCATTAGCAGAATTGGGTTAGAGTGGATAAGGTACATTTCTTATGCTAATATGGATGAGACTAAATGGCATTTGAAATCAGCCAGCCTAAAAAATAAATCACTGGTGCTGAAGGACTACACCAGACTTCCACAAAGCTGATCTAAAGCCTTACAATCTCATGTTCCCATTTCTTTTAGAGCGTTCAAAGGCACGGGATAGCAATTCTAAATAGCATGTCCCCCAAATCCATAGATCTTTTCATACCCCTCTCTCTCTCTCTCTCTCTCTCTCTTTTTTCTTTTCTTTTCTTTTTTTTTTTTTTTTAAGGATTTGTAACTTGGAAAGCACCACAGATGGAAACCAGGCACACAGAGTTAGCGTTTGGCAGAAAAATCCATATAACTGACTTTCAGTGTAGCTCTTTTGCCCTTATTTAATTTAGAAAAATTCAGAAAAAAAAGCCAATGAGCTCATAAGTCTAGATGTTTATTTTGTTTTGCTTAACCTACCCACAGGCGCAATCAAGAATGGATACAATTTTAGGCAAGGAACGTGAGCTAGTAATCAGACAATGATGTTTCCAATTGTCTCAAGGGAATGTTACAGAAGTCTGAAAAAAAAATTTCTCTAAACAAAAATCAAGTGTAATTCACTTTATGAATGCCATGCACCACTTTTGTGGGGGGTGGTGGTGAAGGGGACGGATGGGAATGAGAAAATCAAACAAACCGTGGTAGTGTTGCATCTCCCCAAAGACTGAAGAATCTTGCCTTAGAGGGCCTTGGAAAGTGCAGGAACATTTCCAGAAGGCCAAACTCCCGAATGGGTAAAAGGCAACCGTGAAGAGCCAGGATCCACTTGGAGCTTCTCAAAATAGATGAACCCACCAAAATCAAAATCGGCGAGCTCGAAACAAACAAAGAGTGTGCTGTGTGTTGTCCGTGTGGTTTTAAAGTGTGAGAACTAGCAACCGTATCTGGGTGGCCAGCTGTGGTTCCCCCCATTCGTTGGGAGCAGTTAGTGGTCCTAATGTCAGGAGAGAGAATAAGAAGTGAGGCGTGGGAGGGGTTTCTCTCCTCCGAGACGGCACCACACGTTTGGGCGAGCAGATGATGTGTTAAAACGTGGAGAAAGTCATCTTACCGCACGAAACTTGGCACAGCTGGGAGAATTCTTTCGAACGTGGTCAGTAGATTTCTCCGGCGCCCGCTGATGGTTCGTCCCGAGCTGTGCGTGGAGGGAAGCGTGGATCCGACTGGGGACACGGCTGATGCCCTGGCCCGCGAGGGGCCCGAGACCGGAGCCCCGTGGCAGGCCCGGCGCGAGGTGCTGGAGGTGCTGAGGGGGAGCAAGACACAGTCCCTTTTGTCAAGGCCGCTCGCAGTCTAGTGGGGGAGCCTACGCGTAAACAGGCTTCTCAGGAAACTTGTAGGATTAAATAGGGTGAAAAGGGCTAGAAAATACCTCCAGGAAATTGGCTGAAATGGTCACAATAGCCAGCCTGGGCAAGGGAAAAGAACCGAAGAGATGAAGTGGGGAGATAGGGCGGTCGCTCTTAATAGGGCCGCCATCTTAAAAAGTTTTCTTAATTCTTGGAGCAGACTCCGTGTTTGTAAGCATTAGGAGATGCGGGCATGACAGGATCCTGATGGACGCTTGATGACACAGATGGTGTCAGTTTTGCAATTGTTTTTTTCCTATGGGCTGGGAGATTGCATCCAATATTTTGATGCAATATTTTTGAGCATTCCGCTACTTTCATCTTTCGAGTCGCAATGTTTGCTGTTCACTGTAGCCTAGAAAAAGGCTGCTTATTACCAACCTGGGAAGAAAGAGGCCTGGATTTGTCTTGCTATGAGACAAGACAGAAAATATGTTTTCTCCTTAAATGGCAGCTATCAATGACCATGCCAACTTTAGTGTTTGATGCATATACAAAAACACGGGTCTTAAGAGGTATCTTATTACTCATTTCTAAGAAAATTGAAGATAATCACTTATAACTTGTGCACACGATACATCATTTGGAAAGAATTTCACTAGGGATCATATTGCTCAACTGAAAAGTTCTGGCATGCTGAATTTGTACATTTTTGTGAATGCTTCCTTTACTCTGATCTCTCGCTTTTTTCTGCATATGGTTATTTGTATGTTTTAGATTAGAAGCTTCTTAAAGGGAAAGCACTGCATTTGATGCAGTGTTGAGCACAATACCGAGAGCACCACAGCACATTTAGTAAATTATTGATGATAATAGAATTTCTAGATCATTATGTATTCTCTATGAACTCTCAAATACTTTCCTAAGCTCTATGTCATCTT